TTGGTGTTTGTGTATATTGAGTTAAGGAGGAGAATGTCTGGGTTGTGTTCTAGTAGGTGGAGAGAGAGATATGACGTGTCTGTTTGAATGATTTGAATGATATACTCTACAGTTGAATTGCATAATGGTGATCATGTTAGTGTGGGTGTGTCAAGTTTGTTCTTGGTTACTTATATGAAATTGAAAATCTGGGGTGCAGGGATGATACTGAAGTTGTCGGGTGACTGTGAGCGTGGTCTGTGTGTGGTGTATGTAGGTGAGGGATGGGCGATGACGTGACAGTGTGGGGGAGAGAGGGGAGTGTGCAAGGATCGTATCGGGGTTGTCTCCTGTTTTCTTTGGGGGAGTGGGCAATAGATTTTATTTTTTATCGATTTTGTTGGATGTGTGGATTGTATATTTTTTTTTGCTGTCAGGTGTGTAGGTAGAGAGCGGAGAGGTGTTCTTCCTCTTTGATACAGGGGTCCGTATTACTAGGTTTGTGGGGGGATGGGCTGCCATTTTGTTTTTGGGTGTCTGTGGTGTTCGGGCAGGATTGAGTTTAGTCTGGGTGTCTGTGGTCCAGGAGGTAATGGTAGTCAGGTGAGATAGGTCAGGTGTAGGCATGGACGAGGAGAAGGGGCGGGGGGGGTGGACTTTTTTTATTTCTCTTTATTTTATTTTTTTGTAGAGAAAGGAGGGGTGAAGGAAGATTAGAGGTGGGAGAAGGAAGTTATAGTTCGGAAATTAAAGAAATTTAGGAGGAGGTAAGAGAAGGCGGGCTGACCGCCTAGCTATAAGCTAATAGTGTGTTAGGGTTGTGTCATGCTTTAGTTATTGTCTGTTGGTACAGGCACTAGACTTCCTACCCTGTCCCATATATGGGTGTTTTAAGGGCCTTATTTCATATTCCGCAGACCCTACTGGCGGATGCTGGTCTAGGGAGGTTGTCTATTGCCTGGCCGTGTAGATCGGGAGTGGTAATGGACCTTTTGAAATTTGGTAACTTTTTGGGAACCATATATGGTTGTTGTTGTTATCTGGTGGGAGTCTTAGAAGGAGTTCTTGCTCTGATCGTTCTATCTTTTGCCAGATTTTGCTGGCCAGGGTGTGCAGCTGCTGGTTGATGGGTTCATTCTCAGGTCTATGTATCTCGGCTGTGGTTTTGGTGAAGGGGTATCTTTCACCTGTGACGAATCTTAGGGCTTCATTTTGGACCACCTGTAATTTTAATATTTGAGTGATGCTCATAGTATGAAGAGGTATTGCTGGGTATGTTAATATCGGTGTGATAAATGATGTCACCAGGCGGAGTTTTATTTTCTCAGGAAGCGCTTTAAAGCGGTATAGTTTTCTCAGCTCTCTTCTTGCTTTTTTCTTCCTGCTGTGGATATGGTGGGAGTAACCTGTTGTGGATATATGCAGGCCCAGGAGGGTGCCTCTGCTTTTGTATTCTATCTGGGCATTATTGGTTACTAATGGATGGGATTTCCTTCTGCATAAGGGTATCACTGTGAATTTGGGGAGACTGGTTTGGATTTTCCATTGTTTTTCGTAATTATTTACCCTTTCTAATAACCCCGCCTGGTGTTGTCGGCCTGTAACGCTCGCGATTTCCCTTGATGTGTTGTTATTTGAGTGATGTCATCTGCATACACAATATCTTTGTTACCTATTCTAGTGGGAGGCGGGGTGTCACGTGTGTAGATAATATATAGGGTGGGGGAGAGGACGCTCCCCTGATGGACTCCGCTCATGAATGGGAAGGTCTCTCCTGTGTGTTGTCCTACCCTCAGTCTGGCATTTCTGCCGTCAAGAAAGTTGCAAAGCAGCTTTTCAATGTTGGTGGGAAGTTCGAGTTGGAGGATCTTATAGTTTACACCGTCAGGCCAGACTTTGTCAAATGCCTTCGCTACATCCCGGAGAGTTAGATTACATTGTCTACCACTCGCCGAAGCTCTGGCTATGTTTTCACATGCTAGGGCTATCGCTGTTGTGGAGGACTTCCCTTTCCTGAACCCGAGTTATCTGCAGTTGACTCTGTTTGTTGTTTCCAGATGATTTCTCAGACGGTTATTGATGATTTTTTCTAGGATTTTTCCAGGTACTTCGAGGAGGGAGATCGGTCTGTAGTTTAGTGGGACGGCGGGGTTCTTTCCTTGTTTTGGTGTTAGGGTAATAATGTCCTCTTTGAATTTAGTTGGGGAGTAACCCGAGGCCAGGCAAGCGTTCATTGTGTTTCTCAGTCTCTCCATGGCCGGGTTGTTTATGTGGCTGAGGATCTCCTTGGTGATGCCTGAATAACCAGGGGCTTTATTTTTGGTATTGGAGATGGCTGTGTTGAGTTCTTCCGAGGTGATTGGTTTGGACAATGGGCTGTCCGCTCTCAGATCCTCCCATATGATTTCAGGGGAAGGCTGAGTGCGGTGTGTCTGGCCCCGGAGTTCATCAAGGACGAGCTCCTCGTGGGCATCATCGAATCCCTTATTCTCTTCATTTGTGATTCGGAAGATGTTCCTCTATATGTCCCTGAATATGAGTTCTTTGTCTTGGTCGTCATATATTTTACTTCCTACGTGGTCAGTTATATATGATGACTCGTTACGGCTGCAACCTTTCAATCTCTTAACTCGACGCCAGAATTCTCCTAGGTCGTATGTATATGAGAGTTGTTCAATTTATTCGGCCCATTTAAGGTTGTTCTTTTCCAGAGATCTTGTTTTTGTTTCCTCCCGAATTCTTCTGCATGTACTGTAGCTTACGATGTCCCAAAAATGGGTCTCGGCTCTCTGTTGTAGCAGTTGGAACTGGTTTGTGAGGGCTATGAGTTCTGGAGTCTGTTGTGGGTGTGGGAGAGTTCAGTTGCGTTTGAGAGGCGTGGCCTCCTGGTAGGCGATTCCTATGGCTTCACACCATGTGTTGATTTCTTCGTCTATTTTGTTCACCGGCTGATTGTTTATGGTCTGCAGGATTGTCATGTCCTTAGCCTCAAGTTCGGCTGTTGCTTTTTCGTTGAATAGTTCCCAGTCGGTCTGCTTTGCGATTCTCTGTGGTGGAGCTGGTATAGTTATTGGTGTTGCTGAGATGGTCATGATTATAGGTAGGTGGTCGCTGGAGGTTACAGGGCCTTGTTCTAAAAGATAGTTGTGAAAGCATCTGCCGTTTGTTATTGCTATATCTGGAGTAGTGGCTGAGTTCCTACTGTAGAACATGGGGAAGTCTGGGCCTATTACTTGTTTTTTTTTGTTTGTTATGAAGCCAGCGAGGCCTCTTCCATCATTGTTAGTTGTCCTCTTACCATCTAGTAGAGGATGTCTGGCGTTCATGTCTCCAATGATGTAGGTTGGGTGGTGGTATGATAGGAGTCTGTGGAAGTCCCCGTAAGGCAGGTAGTCCCTGCGTGGTGGGAGGTAGGTTGTGGCTACTATGATTGGCCCTGTGGTCAAGTTGATTTGAATAGCGAGAGTTTCAGAGGTGAAGTCGTCTATGATTCTATGGTGGACATCTCTTTATATGGCGATGGCCACCAAGTCATTTGGCTCCTCTGATAGATTGGATTTATGGATCCTGTAGCCAAATATTTTCAGTTCCTCAGCCGCCTTTTGGCCGTCAGAGTTTATAAGTATAATATCTGCGCCAATCTGGTTATATTGGCTGGACAAACTGAATTTGTTAGTTCTCCAGTGGAGGACGTTATGTTGCATTATTTTCACTGCCTTGCATAGCGAGTCCATTGTATCTTGTTATTGGTTTTGGGGGAATCTGTAGGGTTCGTGATTTGTTCTCTGTGCGTCCATTCCTCAATTTTGTTTTCATCCCAACGGTTGATTTTTGGATGCCGTTTGTTAAGTCGACCTGTTTTTGTATAATGGCCTCATAGATGTCCGCCTCGAAAATGGGGTGGTCGTACTTCCATTTCATTTTGTACTCAATTACTCCTTTAGCGACTTCATCACGTATACAGTCCTTGTTGATGTGGTCTGGTACGTAGATGCATAGGTTCAGGTCTGTACCTGATAGATCGCTTGGAGTCTGAGAGATAGGTATAATCTCCGGCGTGGGTACTTGTGCATCCACACCAGAGCCCACTGTTGTCTCCTCTGTGGATGTTGGAGATTGGGGGACAAGTGTCATCTCCGGTGTGGGTGCTTGAGCATCCACACTAGAGACCACTGTTGTCTCCTCTGTGTTAGTTGGAGTTTGGGGGACAAGCATCATCTCCAGTTTGGATACTTGTGCAATATTGTAGTGAATGAGATGCCAGTGTTTGGGTAGTGGGTGTTGCCACGAACCCTTGAACTTGTCGGCCTGCCTAAACAAGGTATTGGTGAGAGTGAGGTGTGCAACCCACTTGCTGAGGAGTAGGCCGTTGGGATTACCCCTGCCTTCCCTGTTTCTCCCTATGGTTCCCTGTCATATGTCAGCATCTCTGCCAACTTTGGCACTGAAGTCACCAAGGAGCACAACCTTATCTTCTCGGGGAGAGAGGTTAGTACTCTGTCAAGGTCGGTGTAAAAGACCTCCTTGATGTCATCATGAGGCCCCAGATGACCCTCCACAACACACGTAAACCTACATACACCTCCCCCCTCTCTCTCTCTCTCTCTCTCTCTCTCTCTCTCTCTCTCTTCTCTCTCTCTCTCTCTCCACGCGCTGTGAGGGAATGTACTACACCACGTGAGGCCCCTCATAACACCATCTGTGAGGGAGTTACTACACCACGTGTTTGCTGTTCAACACCTCAGCGCACGTACCCTAAGAGACCTCCACTGTAATCATTAATTTGTATGTTTACTGTATGTTCCTTGACCTTTCTCTAATGAAAGCTTTTGTTAAGCCCCCCACCCCACCAATGTCAATGTATGTAATAAGTTATTATTTTCCACTGTACATTATCAACCTTCGGGCTGCTGATCCTTTTCTATAAACCGTTATTTATTATTGTTGTTGTTGTTGTTGTTGTTGTTCACCAAAAACTACTATAAAGCGCGCTATCTGTTGGTAAACAGAACAACTTTTTTATGAAGCTTCAGACTCAAAAGTTCCATTATGTGATGTCCAAATGCTTCCAGGTCGGTGTCTACCAACCTTTGTCCGCGACTATACATAAGAGCTCGTTAGGTTTACAAACAATGTACTAAGACGGTGTAGGTTTACTAACAATAGTAAAAAGGAAGTCGATTAAACAAAGGTTATCCCAAGAAGGCTTTACGAGTTTATTTCCATAGGAACTTGTGGTAGTGAGGGAGGGAGATGCCACCTGACCCAGCAACATTTTTTTCCTTTGTCTCAATACGGATTTCCCCAAGTGCTGTTATTATTGACGAGTTTTCAGTAGACTGTATTTTAGACCTTAAAAATTAACTAGCTGACTTACGAATTATTTACCAAAACCAAAATAAAAATGTAAGAATTAATAATAACTTTAAAGAGAGACTAACATAAAAGGTTTTCCTACGTTTCACTTCACACTTTTAACATGTATTTATATTATTTTATTAGTTGTTTTAAACCTCATCAGCAACAGGGTATTTTGGTTTAATGTTATTTACCAAAAATTTTCCCTTATATATAACTGGACCATGTTGGATGAGTTTGTAACATTGATTAGCGACTTAATTAATACTGTCGTATGTTATGTTTCGCATCTGGGACTTAATTAGTGCCATCATACCTGATTATGCCTCCTGACCTAGCTCATTGTTCCTCCTGACCTAGCACATTATTCCTCCTGACCTAGCATATTATTCCTCCTGACCTAGCTCATTATTCCTCCTGACCTAGCACATTATTCCTCCTGACCTAGCACATTATTCCTCCTGACCTAGCTCATTGTTCCTCCTGACCTAGCTCATTATTCCTCCTGACCTAGCACATTATTCCTCCTGACCTAGCACATTATTCCTCCTGACCTAGCTCAGACGCTACCTGGCCTAGCTTGGAGAAGGACGTGCCCCTAAGTGCTCGTGTTAGTGACCAGAGGCAATGGCCGCCGTGGATCGTTGTGTTGTGGAGGAAGAGGGGCGGAGTGTGAGGAACCTGGCTACTTTGTTTAGTCAGCTGGAGCAGTTGAGGAGAGAGATGGACGTGTTAAAGGGGGAGAACGAAGCCCTCAGGACTGAACTCCTTCTGGTAGGTATCCTGCCTAGCAGGACACCTGCGAAGGAGGAACAGGCGTGGAGAGTGGTTCCTTCCAAGGAGACTAGGGTCAGACTCAGGAAAGCTGACCAGGGGGTGGAGTGCAGTAACCCCTACCAAGAATTGAAGGAAGCTGGCGAGGAGGAGAAGAGGCAGGACGAGAAGAGGCAGGACGAGGAAGAGAAGAGGCAGGACGATGTGGTGCCAGGAGAGAAAAGGGCAGTTGTTCAGACCCTGCCCAGTGGTAATGTCGTGGTAGTTGGGGACAGCCAGGTGAGGTTCTTAGATAGGACTTTTTTGTGCAAGAGATAGGAAATGTGGGACTAGGGTGTGTTTTCCTGGGGCTGGGATAGGGCGTGTAGCTCAGAGGATAGATAGGGGTTTGTCAGGGGAGGGTACCAATCCAGTAGTGTCTCTTAGTGTCGGAGGTAACGACATAGGAAAAGTTAGGAGTGAGGGACTTTTCAAGAGGTATAGGGAGGCGCTGAGGAAGGTTAGAGATAGGGGAGGGATCCCGATAGTATGTGGTGTCTTGCCTAGAAGAGGAGTTGGTCGTGAATGGCTATCCAGGGCAATTGCTATGAATTGCCGACTGGAAAAACATTGTGCAAACAATGGTTGGGAATTCATTGATAACTGGCTACCATTCTATGGCAACGACTACCTGTACAGTCATGACGGAGTACACTTGTCTCGCGCGGGGGTAAAGATGTTGTCTGCATCCCCGGAGCGTGAAATTATCACTCCAAAAGGGGGGGGGGGGCGGGGGGGTTCGCCAGTAAAGAGAGGTCGGGGTAAGTGGGAGTCAAAAAACAAGCAGGTCCTGGGAAGTAAAAGTGGTTACTCAGGACAAGGGGTAAAACAGGACCAGGGAAAAGTAGATTTAAATGTATACTGTACAAACAGTAGGAGCGTTAGAAATAAAATAGACTTGCTGAGAGTGGTTGTATGTACCGAGAATAAAGACGTCATAGAAATCACCGAAACTTGGATGAACCTGGGGAGCAAGAACTTTTTATCAGAGTACCACATAGAAGGTACAACCTTTTTCACAAGGACAGGGAAGGTAGGAAGGGGGGAGGGGTCGCACTCCTCATCAAGGATACATTAAAATGTTGTATTAATAATTCAATAAAGGGTGAAATAGGAACCGAGTCTGTATGGGTAGAAATTGTGGAAGGAAGAGAAAAACTAATTACGGGAGTGATTTACAGGCACCCAAGTCTTGGGAAAGAAGCAGCTCAGCCCATATGGCAGGAAATGAGTAGGGCAGCAAGATACAACAACCTGTGCATTATGGAGGATTTCAACTTCAGAAATATTGACTGGGACAATATTGTAGGTGACTATGAATCTGAAGACTTCCTAGAGTCTAGGAAGTCTACAGAAGCATGAAGCCCTCCTCTTTTACTCCAAAGTGTGCTTGCTTTCCAGGGGCAATGTTGTGAATCGAGTGTTTGAACTTCAGGGAGAGCTTAAGTTGTTCCTGGAAGTGCAAGGGAAAGATGATCTATTAAGTCACTTCAGTGAGGTGTTGTGGGAGCCACGTCTTGCATATTTAGCATATATATTTGAGCAGCTAAACAGACTGAATCTCAAGCTGCAGGGCAAGGACAGAAATGTGTTTCACCTCACGGATTGTCTTCGTACATTTCTTGCCAAGCTCCAGAATTGGCAAATGAAAGTCAGTGCAGGAAATGTTGCCATGTTTGAGAATCTTTCAACTGTTCTTGATGAGATTGAAGATCATCTGCTTGACCCATCACTCAAAACCGAAATCACTCAGCACCTTAAATCCTTGGAAAGTGAGCTCAAAAAGTATTTCTCAGAATTCGAGGAGGAAGATGGGAAATTGGTGAGGAATCATTTCTCTGGCACTCTTGATATTGCTACCATTTCCAATGATGTTCAGGACGAATTTCTTGATCTCAAGAATGATTCTGCTGCCAAAGATCTCTATGAAGAAAGATCTCTGACTGTATTCTGGTGCTCAATGTATCAGTCATATCAAAAAGTTAGCGCGATTGCACTTCGAGTCCTCTTGCCTTTTTCAACTACCTATTTATGCGAATCTGGTTTTTCCACCCTTCTACATATAAAGAATAAAAGCCGGAACCAACTGGATGTGGACCCGGACATGAGATGTGTATTGTCAGTGACACAATCTCGGATCAGTCACCTGACTGAAAGGAAACAATGTCAGCCTTCCCAATGAGCTGTGACAAAATATGCAGAGGTCATATGAACATTTTCCCAACCAAATTCAAGTTTACTGTGAGGCTTGTCTAGTAGTCACTCTAGTCTAGTGACGCCAGTTATGTAAATTATGTAAGTCTATCAAAATATAAGATAATGATGATTGTCAACCTTGAAATAAAATGAGGGTATTCTCTTCATCTGCATTTTATTTTTCAAAATTATTTCTCGGAGGGCAATTTTTTGAAACAACTAATTACAGAACCTACTAGAGGTAATAATATATTAGACATAGTATTATCAAATAAAGAAAATATTATCAGAGATATCACAGTAGGGGAAGAACTAGGGAACAGTGATCACAGAGAAATCAGGTTCACCCTAAATTGGGACGAAAAACAATGACAATATGGTCAGAGTCCCAAACTTTCGATTGGCGGATTATCAGGGGTTAAGCAGGTACCTAGGTGAGGTCGCCTGGGAACAGTCAGGACAGTCCCCAGTAGGAATGGGTGAGGTCACAGATGACACAACAATTGATCATGGCTGTAATGTATTCACTCGCATACTACGTAAAGCACAAGAACAAAATATACCATACAGAAAAATTAGGTCAAATAAGAATGAGCCAAGGTAGATGACCAGAAAACTTTAACATGACAAAAGAATAAAGAAAGGAATTTATATGAAATTAAAGGGAGGGGAGGAGCAGCTCAGAAATAGGTATAATGAACTATCTAGAAATGTTTAGAAAAATGTAAGGAAGGTATATAGGACAAGCGTCACGGACAAAGTTGGGCCTTTAAAGTCATGGAGTGGGGAAGTGATAAATGGCAGTGAAGAAATAAGCAAAGCATTGAACAGCTACTTTTTATCAGCTTTCACAGAAGAAATTCACGAGGAAATTCCAGGGGTGGAACTGATATTTAGGGGAAATGAAGAAGAGAAATTAAAGAATATCACAATCAGAAAAGAGGATGTTCTTAAGAAGATAAAAAAATTTACGAAGGCAAATGCCCAGAGCCCGATGAAATTTTCCCTCGAGTTTTGAAAGAGTGTAAGGAACAGATTAGCGACCCCTCGTAAATTTATTTACAAAATCATTAGACACGGGAGTTGTGCCAGACTTGTGGAAACAGGCAAATGTAGTACCTATATTCAAAAAGGGAGACAGAGCATCAGCGTCAAATTACCTCCCGATTAGTTTGACGTCAGTAGTGGGGAAATTTCTTGAATCAATTATAGCAAATAGCATTCGATCGCATTTAGAGAAAAGAAAATTAATCTACGATTCTCAACATGGGTTTACAAAGGGAAAATCTTGTCTAATAAATCAGCTTACGTTTTTTAGGAAAGTCTTCGAGGTAGTAGATAATGACGATAATTACGATTTCATTTACTTAGAATTTAGCAAAGCGTTTGATAGAGTACCACATCAAAGGCTTCTAAGAAAAGTTAAGGCTCATGGTATCGAGGGGAAAGTTTTAAATTGGTTAAAATCGTGGCTCGCCGATAGAACACAGAGGGTCAGCGTAGATGGTGTTAAATCTGAGTGGGGCTGTGTAACCAGTGGGGTTCCCCAGGGGTCAGTATTGGGCCCACTCTTGTTCATAATCTATATAAACGATCTTGATACTGGGATCAGCAGTGACATAAACAAGTTTGCGGATGTCCCTAAAATAGGGCAGCAGATTAATTCAGGGCAGGATGCAAATGCACTACAGGAGGATTTAAATAAACTGAAGGAGTGGTCAGAGAAATGGCAAATGAAATTCAACACCAGCAAGTGCAGCGTACTTAATTCTGGTAGAACAAATACTGTCAACGTATACAGCCTTAACAACATCAACCTAGAAAGGTCGACTTGTGAAAGAGACTTAGGGGTACTTGTAAGCCCGGATCTACGGCCTAGAAAACAGTGCGTTAATGTTCGAAATAAGGCAAACAGAGTATTAGGTTTTATATCTAGAAGTGTAAGTAATAAGAGTGCAGAGGTCTTATTGCAACTATATCTTGCGGTTCAGTTCTGGTGCCCTTATTATAGTCAGTGCAGCGAAGAATGACGGAAATGATTCCGGGACTTAGAAACCCTCCATATCAAGATAGGTTAAAGAAACTAAACTTGCATTCCTTAGAAAGACGAAGAGTGCGGGGGAGATATGATACAAGTATTTAAGTGGGTGAAAGGAATCAATAAAGGCGATACAGATAAAGTTCTTATAATATCCGAGCAGGATAGGACTCGTAGCAACGGATTTAATTTGGATAAGTTTAGGTTTAGGAGGGAGATAAGAACGAACTGGTGTACAAATGGGGTGGTGGACGAGTGGAACAAGCTTAGCAACATTGTAGTAAGTGCCGGAACGCTGGAGAGTTTAAAAAGGAGGCTAGATAGATTCATGGATGATAGAGAGTGGTAGTAACTGTCGACAGGAGCTGCCATGCACAGGCCAACCGGTCTATTGCAGACTCCTTATTTTCTTATGTTCTTATACCTGTCAGGGGGCCAGTCTTCCCTGCTTCTGGCTCCGTTATTGTTATTCATTTATTTGTTTTTATTCTGTTTACTTTCATACCCCGCCGCGGAAGGGAGGGGGTAGAGAGTGTTGCCGTTTTTTGTCTGTCTGTCCGGCTGAGCGTCAGTTCGATGCATGATATCTCGGACAATTTTTGCTGTGGTCCTGTTATGTGACGTAAAACTGACCTACTACATATTCACTTTACACCAATCATAATATTTTGGTTAATTTTACGTTTAACTCATTTCCGGGGGTCGATTATCCCGGTCCGAGAGGCATCCGTGACCCACAGGTGGATTCCCAAGATTAATTATGAGCAAGAACTGGCCAATGAACTGCCTAATTATATAACAGGTAAACAGGTGATGTTTTTGACCTAGTTTCTGGTGGAGCGCCGTTAGGTAGTTAGGGTGAGCAGAGACACAGTTAGGTGAGGTGAGGGTGAGGTGAGACATAGTTGGGTGAGGTGAGACACAGTAGGTAAGTTGAGGGTTAGGTGAGACACAGTTAGGTGAGGTGAGGGTGAGGTGAGACACAGTTGGGTGAGGTGAGTCGAGTCACAGTAGGTAAGGTGAGGGTAAGGTGAGACACAGTTAGGTGAATTGAGAAACAGTACGTAAGGTGAGGGTGAAGTGAGTCACAGTAGGTAAGGTGAGGGTGAGGTGAGACACAGTTAGGTTAATTGAAAAACAGTAGGTAAGGTGAGGTAAGACACAGTAGGTAAGGTGAGGGTGAAGTGAGACACAGTAAGTAAGGTGAGGGTGAGGTGAGACACAGTCGGTAAGGTGAGGGTGAGGTGAGACAGTTAGGTAAGGTGAGGATGTGGTGAGACACAGTAGGTAAGGTGAGGATGTGGTGAGACACAGTTTGGTGAGGGTGAGGTGAGACACAGTAGGTAAGGTGAGGGTGAGGTGAGACAGTTTGGTGAGGGTGAGGTGAGACACAGTAGGTAAGGTGAGGGTGAGGTGAGACACAGTTTGGTAAGGTGAGGGTGAGCTGAGACACAGAAGGTAAGGTGAGGGTGACATAAGAACATAAGAATGGAGGAAACAGCAGTGGGCCTATTGGCCCATACTGGGCAGTCCCATTTACACCCAACCGCTATTGCTCATATATCCATCCAACCTATGTTTGAAGCTATCCAGCGTATTCGAGTTATTGATGATATTTGGTAACTTGTTCCACTTTATTTCCAAACCAATCTTTACCTATTTCGAGCCTAAATCTAAATTTGTTTAATTTAAAACCATTGTTATGAGTTCGCTCCTGGTTGGAAAGTTTGAGTACCTTTGTAATGTCCCCTTTGTTTAGCCCTGACTTCCATTTATACACCTCGATCATGTCGCCCCTCACTCTACGTCTCTCGAGGGAGTGCAAATTAAGATGCTTTAACCTGTCGAGGGGAAAGTTTTAAATTGGATAAAATCGTGGCTCGCCGATAGAACACAGAGGGTCAGCGTAGATGGTGTTAAAGCTGAGTGGGGGCTGTGTAACCAGTGGGGTTCCCCAGGGGTCAGTACTGGGCCCACGCTTGTTCATAATCTATATAAACGATCTCGATACTGGGATCAGCAGTGACATAAGCAAGTTTGCTGATGACACCAAAATAGGGCGGCAGATTAATTCAGGGCAGGATGCAAATGCACTACAAGAGGATTTAAATAAACTGAAGGAGTGGTCAGAGAAATGGCAATTGAAATTCAACACTAGCAAGTGCAGCATACTTAATATTGGTAGAACAAATACTGCCAACGTATACAGCCTTAACAACATCAACCTAGAAAGGTCGACTTGTGAAAGAGACTTAGGGGTACTTGTAAGCCCGGACCTACGGCCTAGAAAACAGTGCGTTAATGTTCGAAATAAGGCAAACAAAGTATTAGGTTTTATATCTAGAAGTGTAAGTAATAAGAGTGCAGAGGTCTTATTGCAACTATATCTTGCGTTAGTCAGGCCGCACCTCAATTATGCGGTTCAGTTCTGGTGCCCTTATTATAGAATGGATATCAATTTACTGGAGTCGGTGCAGCGAAGAATGACGAAAATGATTCCGGGACTTAGAAACCCTCCATATCAAGATAGGTTAAAGAAACTAAACTTGCATTCCCTAGAAAGACGAAGAGTGCGGGGGAGATATGATACAAGTATTTAAGTGGGTGAAAGGAATCAATAAAGGCGATACAGATAAAGTTCTTATAATATCCGAGCAGGATAGGACTCGTAGCAACGGATTTAATTTGGATAAGTTTAGGTTTAGGAGGGAGATAAGAACGAACTGGTGTACAAATAGGGTTGTGGACGAGTGGAACAAGCTTAGCAACATTGTAGTAAGTGCTGGAACGCTGAAGAGTTTTAAAAGGAGGCTAGATAGATTCATGGATGATAGAGAGTGGTAGTAACTGTCGACAGGAACTGCCATGCACAGGCCAACCGGCTTATTGTAGACTCCTTATGTTCTTATAACATCGTATCTCTCTCTAACTCTCTCTGTGTGGGTAAA